GGTGAAGACACACGTCCGTCTGGGGAGTGCCTAATCATAACAATGTCTCCAGTGTGTGTCCTGCCAGCAGCTCTGCCTGTTTTGATAGGAACATGGAGTCTGTTCTATTTGGGCACCTATTGAGTAGTCCCCATTGCTTAGACTCCTTGGGGGACACTGTTATTTCTTAAAAAAATTGCGGATGTATCAGAAATGGGCAAACCCAGGAAAAAAGAATTCTGATCATTTCAAATGACACGTAATTTTGGCCATCGCAGAGGTCCTGCAGAATGTAGAACAATGCCGGCCACCACGGGAGACCAGAGCTGCCTCCCTCCATGCCAAGGCCCATGCTGTGGGTTTGGAGACTGGGCTGGGGGAAGAAGCAGGAGTGATGCCTCAGGGCTCCCCCTCCAGGCAGCTTTGGACAAGGCCCACCCACCTAGCTGAGTCCTAGCCAAAGTGCTTCCCTCCAGTCACCCAGCTTTTCCAACTTTGTTAAAATATAGCCAGCCGTTTCCTGTGGCAGACCCAGCCTATTCGGAACAAACAAACCAAACCCAGCCAGCATCTTGTGCCTGCCTTTCTTCATTTCTCCTCATTCGAATCGCCTCTCTCCTCCAAGGCTTAGCTTCAAGGTCTCTTCCTTGAAGGTGGTCCCTTCCCCATAGAAGTAACCTTTCCAGTTTCCAATGCCCAGGCCACACTGCCTGCCTGCTTCACAGCCTCCCTGGCTCTCCTGTTTCAGTTGGCTGTGTCTCATCTCCCCTGCGGGATGGAAGCCCTTTGACCTTGTAGAGCTCGGTGCATCCAGCTTCACAGCCAGGCCGGAGCCCACACAGGTGTGGCCCAGAGCAGGCAGAACTGTGCACAGATGCAAGAATGACTCCTGGGCAGCGCTCTCCCTGCTGGCCCCTGGCTTCCTTCTCTTAGTAAGAATCCCCAACACAGCTTTCTTGGGACCCAGAGGAGGCTTGGGGCTGTAGTGGGAATGAAAGGGGAGGCAGGCAATGCAAGCACACTGCACACCTGTAAGGATGCTGGGGCGGGGAGGGCAGGAGGGAAGGGGCAGGAGGACCAAGGCTAAA